AGATTCTGCTGATTGAGACTCATTTTCTAATCGAAGTGGATCAATTTCTTGACGAAGTGGATCAATTTCTTGATTAATTGAAGTTCTTGAGGAATAAGGAGTAGACTGTCTCATGGCTTCATCCATCACTTGATCCAAAACAGACACATTCTTCCTATTCTGTCGAGATTCTGCTGATTGAGACTCATTTTCTAATCGAAGTGGATCAATTTCTTGACGAAGTGGATCAATTTCTCGATTAATTGAAGTTCTTGAGACATAAGGAATGGGCTGATCAAAGACTTCATCCATCACTTGATCCAAAACTCTCGTATTCTGTATACTCTGTCCAGATTCTGATGATTGAGACTCATTTTCTAATCGAAGTGGATCAATTTCTCGATTATTTGAACCCCTTGAGGGATAAGGAATGGACTGTTCCATGACTTCATCCATCACTTGATCCAAAACTCTCGCATTCTTCACGTTGTGTCCCGATTCTGATGAGTCAGACCCATTTCCTGATCGAAGTGGATCAACTTCTTCAGCAACTGATCTGCTTGAGGGATAGGGAATGGACTGTTCCATGATTTCGTCCATCACTTCATCCGAAACCCTCTTATCTTTTCCTCTATTTTGTTGAAAATTTGGAGATTGAGACTCACGTTTGACCGAATTTGAATTAATGTCTTCATCGTCTGAAATTGTGATGATCAAATAAGTCTTTCCTGTCTTCTTCTTCTTCTGGGGATCATCTGTTGTGACGACTTGACGTGTTTCTCTCCTGACTTTTTTTGGTTTATGAGATGATTCAAGGGCGTCGTCTTCCGCCTGAGATGTCTCCAACTCGCGTCTTTCCTGATTAATCATTCACTTTATATCAGGTTTACCAATAATTTTTTTCTTATGAGTTTTTCATTTTTTTATTGATTTTACCATAGGAGAGAGCAAGCTACGATTTTTTTCATTTTTAATTCTTTAAAAATGTTTCTTGAATGAACAATAAGAAAAGAACCAATCTTTTGCGGCTTTGATGAATCAAACAAGTGGGAAATTGCTCTTGTATTATATATAGTATAGTTATTTTTGCTAATAAATTCGCAATATACGTCCGAATGGTTGTTTTCCATATCACTTCCTTCTATCACGTATAATTCATTGTTTTTTTCATTTTATTAAATTGAATAAGATGATGTGCTTTTATCTCATTTTGGCAGATTTTCAATTCAGGTGAATCCCACGTAAATTCATTCAACCGTTCTTAATCTTTCCAGAAAACTCCAACTTCTCAGCCATTAACGGTCATTAAAACGATTTTATTAATCACTCGGCTTTACAAAAAACAGAAGATCCCAAAAGATTTCCATTTCTGCCAACGTTTCGGACACACAAGGTGTCTTTCATCAGGGTGTTTGATTTTGTTTTGGTTATACAGAATAAAAGATTGCCCTGATCATACGGACACGATCTAAAAATTGCATTTTCTAACTTTTTGGATCATAATGGGTCGATAGAACACAAAAAATCCAAAACTTAAATTTGAACGATTGCAATGCTCCCATTCGGAAGCAAAATTAGGGAAAATTAGAAGAATTTCACTCTTTCAATCTAGAGATACTCAAAATTGACGTTGATTAATTTTTTTTTCACTCTCTCCTATGAAATTTTGTTGCTTTTTATATTTACCTTGTTGTGATGGCGAATACGTCGTTGCACTTCCACTGGATGCCCTGGATTTCGATATTTTAGTGTCCTTTTCCTGTTAAATGAAATGAAAAAAATTATAATTTACAACAATTCTGATATTAATCAAAAATTAAATCTAGTATTCACAATAAATTTATTATTATCTGTCAGAGGAAAACGAGATCAATATGAATAAAAATAAATTTTCAATATCTTCTGAAGAAATTATACGATTCAAAAAATTTATTTATTTATTTATAATTTTAAACAATTCACTCTGTTCCATTCTAAATAAAATTTCATTAATTTTGAATGATCTATTATGAGTTAATTATCATTATTATTATTATTAATTTATTGTTGAATCATTAATTAAGTTACTAATTATGAATTTATTGGAGGAAGAAGTTATTTCAAAGGAAACTTCAAGCGATATTATTTATAACTGATCAAATTCTCTAAAAAAATTGTCTCTATAATTTTTCAAAGCCCTCAGATAAATCTATTCTGCACCATTCTTCACTCAATACAAAAAAGTTTGTTTTTTTAAATAAATTTATAAAATGAACTAACCCAGCAGATGGCCCAGACCCTCTCGTCGCCTTCTCTCGACTTCCTTGCTTCCCGGAAGCATTCCCATCCTCATCTTCATGATCTCCATCCTCATAACTTAAAAATGATCCATATGTTCTCGACATGATCTCTTCTGCAACCCCTCAACTAACATAATAAAACGAAAAAGCAATAAACAAATTGGGGACATCTGGGGTACAATGAACCTCGAAATCCTAGATATCATCTGATCAAATCATGCGATTTGGATGAGTCAGGGCTCATTTTAAAGAGTGAGGAAATACCTTCAAAATAAAAAAAGAATCGTTCAATTTCACTCTGCCAATTTTTAGTTATCGAATATTGAAAAAGGGCCGTTTTATCACGTCTCCTAATTAGTAGAAAAGATTATCAAAGCTCACTTTCTTCAATCTTCGACATCTCGAGATTGGCAGAGTGAAACTCAACAATTCTTCTTTCATTTTGAAGTCCGACAAAATACCTTCAAAACGAGAGCTGACTCGTCCAAATCGGATCATTGGATCAGGAGATATTGACGATTGAAGAATATGTAACGAGGTTAGGTTCACCTGTTGATGCTTGACGTTGTTCCATCCATCAATAATTCTCCATCAATAATCCTTTGAATCCTTAATAAACCACTGAATCCCTTCCTTTCCTCTTTACTCAATGGTAAACAATTAACAATTGTCAGAAGATAGCATTCACAAATCAACAATACGAGCAAAGACATCCTAAATAAACTTTTCCTCGAGGAAAACTCTGAATCCTCAACTCAATTAATCGATCAATCTCTGTTCTGTTCCTTCACAACCCTCTTAAATCAGCGATATCAAAAACTTTCGACATGTCCAACAACAACAAAAACACAATCAGCTGCACATCCCCTCCGAAACGATATTACCGACTGCGTATTTAACTATCAAGATCGACCAGGGTTGGGGATCTGCCGATAACCGCAGTTTTTTAAATGACATACATTGCAACAAAACCCGCAATTTACTAAATAAATGTAAAAAATGTAAAAAACCAGCCGAAATTACCTTTTATCGTAAACCGTGAAGGTTCGCGAAGATTACACTTCGCGAGGGTGATAAAAGTCATGAGATTCATACCTCGCCAGGATCATACGTCTCGAGGGTCACACCTCGTAAGGGTCGTACCGTGTAAGGGATGAATTTTACAAGGGTCAATCTGATCATTTATTGATCTCTATTGAATTCGTCGCGTCATCATCTTTTGTCTTGCCATTAACTGGTTTCATTCAGCATTCTTAAATGACAAAACTAATTCGATTGTGTTTGGTAGCTTTTTTGAATTCTCCAGAACAAAATAGTTCTTTTCTGTACTGCTTCTCACGATTTCTCGTCTGGGAATTGGTATTACATACTTCCCAAACTCGAAAACTTGAAAATCACTACAGAAAAATATTGCGGCTGGGCTGTTGCGATGGGGTTTTTTTACTCGGAGTAAAAAACCCCATCGCCACAGGCTGAAAATAGTATATTATGTCACCAGGCGATAATAGTATATTTCGTTACGAGTGCGGAAAAGTGTTTTTTTATTGGGATTTTTTGTAATACTCTTAACTCTGGAATAAATTCATTAATTGAGATCAGTCTAGGTTCATTCTAAAGTGGAAGAAGTGTAGTTTCCATGAAAAAAAAATTATTCCATTTTATTTAAAATTGAATGAGCTATCAACATTTTTCAAAAAATCAAAAGAGGCCGTTTTACCCCACGCTCCCCTAGTTTTTTCTCCTGCGCAATGAGAAAAACATCGATTTTTCAAATCAGCGATGTTTGTTCCTGAAAAATCGATTCACAACATCGACGTTTTTTAAAAACATCAATGCTTCGATACTCGATGTTTTTCAAACAATCGCCCATCCCCAAAGTAACTACAATCAGCTGAACATTCCCTCCAAAACGATATTACCGACACCCCAGAAAGCCCCCCCAGCCCCATCTCTCGTCCACATTTCTCCCCTGACCACCTCCTGATGGTGGGGCGTAGCCTTCCAGCCAAGACTACAAAAAAAGGTAATCAGAATGACGGCCTCCCAGACCCCAACACAAGCCCACGGTCTGCAGTGCTCCAGCAACTAGAACGCGCACTCATTCATCTCCCCCGAAAAAAAAAAAACAGTCGCAAGTCCCTGAACCCGTGAATGTTGTGAAAGTGAAGTGTCCAGTGCCGAAGATCCCCCGAATAATGCTCTCAAAAACGTCAGCAACGAGCAACAATGCTCAATGACAGATGCACAAGTGTCGTGATGCGTGTGACAGTGTTGATGACGACTGAGGTTGGTCAGTGATCAGTTCTCATATCCGGGAATAATTAGTTGTATTTTTTTAAATCGACAAGTTATTATTCGGTTTGCCCTCGAGACTAAAAATATGCGATAAACAGAGGCCCGAGTTGAAGGAGAGGTATCAGTGGGATTTTTTGTCGTGGCCCTGGGGGGGAGAGAGGGGAGAGTCAACATCATTGGCTCGCGGGGGATGAGAGTTATCGGTGGGTAGGGTTACGACGGCTGGGGCAGGGACCGGTGGATCCGCCGCTGTGGCTGCTGAACGCTGCCTCGAGGGCTCGAACAGCACCGGCGGCGGAGGTTTTGGGGGCTGAGGGGTTCAGAAACACTTTAACGAGGGGTTTGGAATCATGGCGGATCTCGAGGCTGTACTGGCTGATGTCAGCTACCTCATGGCCATGGAGAAGAGCAAGTGCACGCCGGCTGCCAGGGCCAGCAAGAAAATCATCCTGCCGGATCCTAGGTAATTAGGGGTTGGTATTGGGGGAGGGGGGGGGGTGTTGTTGTGATGAGGGATAGGGGAGGTTGGGGTAAAGTGGACACTTTTGACTTTTTTAAAAATGTTAATGACAGGGTGAAATGGTGATGAAATTTAATTTTTTTTTTTTCAATGCAAAGAACAATTCTTGCCCTTTGTGATGAGCCTAAACTGAGCTCCATTGATAAATTTGTTTCTGAGTTGTGAGTAATTTTAAAGATGTCTAAAGTGGCCATTACATTTACCCCACCCTCCCCTACTGATATTTCTGAACCTTCAGCAAAATTGTTTGCACTTGAGAAAGTTTGCTCATATGATTGTTTGACTCTTGAACCCTCAATAATTCCCTAGATTGGGGGTGTACAAATATTTTCAAGTCATGAGCACTTGGGGAAAGTTTGCTCATATAATTATTTGAACCTTAAACACTCAAATGTTCCCTAGATTCACTAAGAGAAGATTCAATTTAGGTGACT